AGTCCTCAATTTCGAGAGTATATCTTGCTTTTAATGAGTTATTTCTTCGTTTAATGCAACGAAATATTTCCGCGGAGAGCTTTTCACCATGTTTTTTTGTACCCTCAGTCACCAAATAAGCTAAGACGTTATACGAATAATCGTAGAATGAATGATACAATGAAAATAATTCACGATCAGAATAAATAAAAGTGTCTCGTAAATTATTTATCAACTCGATGGCCTTTCGAAAATACCATAATGTCATTTAGCTCTATTAATGTGTTTCTATGGTATTGCATATGATGATGAGGACTCACTCATGAGTTCAGAGATCAAACGATGCTCTCACACGCAACATTTATTAAAGTTTCAAATACAACCGATTTTCTCGTTTTAGTCTATCAGACTACCTATCGTATGTGAAATGCAGTCATCATTCAAACATTTGAAATGGTTCGCGAACTTTTTGACGCTAATAAGCATGAAGTCATTTATAGTCTCGTAAAATCATCTCATAGAAATGGCAACAACATTCAACATAATTAAACAAAATCGATGATATAATCACGATAATTGGAACTCGGAACATTCAAATTACACACGAAATGATCAGTAATATCTGACCTGCAAGGAGGTAGCGGAAGGCGGCAAGNTTGTTGTTGTTGTTGTTGTTGTTGTTGCTGCTGCTGCTGTTGTTGCTGTGCAGCATAAGCAGCTTGTTGCTGTTGTTGGTAATAGTGCTGTCGTTGTTGTTGCTCGTACCTTTGCTGTTCTTCTAATGAAGGCCCCTGAAAACAACTCCATACCATCAGCTGAACAACCAAACGAGAATCCACCAACCACACTCAGCTTTTTGCCAATCGCCGGCATTTCAGGTGATAGATCATCGCTTCAGATGATATTCAATTGCCTATATATGATGATCGCGGATAATTTATGAACAAAAAGAGTAGTTATGATATTGAAATGAACGAACCATTTGTTGAGGTAAAGGTGCCCTCATAGGCGCACCGGAACGCATCGCAGGCGGAGGTGGATAGCCAGGAGGTGCGGCACCAACCGCTGGACCAGGCGGGTAGCCCTGCGGAGGCCAGGCATGCGGTGGTCTTGCCTGCATCGATGATGGATCCATTTGATGCGCATAATAATAAGCAGCACTCGGATCACTTGGATGCGGTACATAACCGGGTGGAGCCCCGGGTGCTTGGCCCGGTGGACCTGAATTNTTGCACACCTTTAGTTTACAATATATCATTGCATTCATTTCATCTGATCAAATAATATGATTCCGTATTGTTCACGACCACATTTCACACATTCAGCAACACATTTTGGTTCGCTTTTCTCGTTTTTTTTTGATACCTTCGAAGATGGCAAAAAACCTACACAAAAAATTGCTTCGAGAAAGCTTTGAGTATCATTTCATTCAGAGAGAATATACTGTTGACAGACAGACGGCTCGGATGGGATCACACACGAATACAGTTTATTTGTTTTATGTGAGATTCAACAGAATGATAGTACTTAACAAGATCACTGAAAAACGTTTGCGTCAGAAAAAAAAACGTTGTTTATAAATTTTGCAGACGGATGGATATTGCACAAGTATTGTGTTGTTTTGTTGAGATGTGATCATATCAAAGTTGAATGTTAGCACTGCACAAGATTAGCTTATAAACTGATCGATAATTTTTTGAGAAAACGATTTCGATGATGTGAGAAAGACGGAATTAATTTTGACGAGGAGACTTTCTTCTGTATGACGAAGCAAAACTGCTTCTTCTTATGCCGATATTCAAATATGGTTGGGTTGTTGAATGCGTTGTGTGAATGGTCAAATATTTGCAGTGTATTATAAACTACATATATTATTCGATGTGAATGATACATTCGTAAAGTATTTGGGCTCTATTATATTACGCATACTGAATGAGTCAGAAGTCAGAAGGCAAAATCACACTGAAAAAACAAACATTCAAGAAGCATCAAAGTGGAATTAGTCGCATTGTTTTTTTTAAAGAAATTACCTGTTTTTTCTCGAATCTAAATGTATCATTTGAATTTATGAATTCAAATGAATCAATGGAACACAATCATATTTATTGCATGGCTCCTCGTAAATTCGGTGTTTATGACGCGTAAAGAATGTGTTATTATTGCTTGCAAATGACACGGATACACATACCACATTCTTCAGACTGATTATGACGTCGCATTGTGTGGGTGTGGGTAAGTGCACTTGTGTTGTACATGCATTCTATTCATTTCTATTTTTTTTTTTCAACCATCCAAATGAAATCGACGATCAAATATTCAAAAAAAAATTCTTTGAAAACTTTATCGCCGACAAAAGGAAGGAGAAATCATCCAGATCTTTGATCATCACTATCATAACTTCACTGACTGCTACAGAACGATTTTCGGGATTATTTGTCAATGAGATGAAATTTTTCACGAAATCCCCGCTCGAAGCTTCAAGAGAGCTAAATTACTGAACAGAGCAGAAAAAAAAACTAATTAGAAGCGACAACAAATGGTATTCAGGTGT